GTATTAGTACAACACAAGGCGCGTCGAATAATTCTGCGGCATTGTATGTCATCATTAAAATATCGCGTTAAACCAACATAATATCTTGCTAGCCGATTTTATTGAAATAAGTTAATAATATCGAAGATGGACTGATAAATATAGTAGGAATAGAATATAACTATAAATGTCCTAAATTGTTATACTCGAGCATACAGTAATGATAATATATAACTATCATAACATTTCTRACATGCCAAATAAAATTTTTTTAAAGCACCGTTGTGATCGGATTAAATTAACAAAATATTATTAATTAAACAATATTATTCACATTAATTTTATTTCGGTTTAGTTACTGACGTATTTTCTCGTATWCGCGTATATCTCGCAGTTTTGATTGTTACGTTTTTTGTAATATTTAGGTTAACATTATTCCTATCTATTATCTATATAACTTTGGCTCTTAACACAATCCTTTTTCATACATAATATCAACATGGTGCTCCGATAGCATAAATAATGTTATTATATTGAAACTGCCTTATTCGTACATAAATTCAGTAGGTAGGTAATGCGTTTAGTCGAGTATAGGAAAGTTTAAATTGCTGAAGTCAGAATAGAAGAACTCACTATTCACTGCAGATAATATAACTTGGTTATTCTCCTAATGGTGTATACACATTCGATAATATATTTATTTTTTTGGTGGTTAAGATAGGTTTTTTATTTACACTTTGGCGGTGTCTTAATCGTAATATTACTTGGCGATTACACTAACAGTCCTGGACTGTTTTTTTTTTAATGCAAAAAGCAAAAATATTTCGTTCATATACAATTTTAAAATAATAGAATATGGATCTTATACGAAAATATCAATACTACTAACTACTGTTGAAGAAAAAAAAATGATTTTCAAGTCTCGTGTTGTACATTTTTATGAATTTTATCAGCATCCTCTCATTATTCCTTTTCAACTAAAACCCACAACCTTGTATACATTTATGCACTATTTGTATTTCGTATTCATTTATATTTAGAAAAGCAAATTTGTGAAACTTTGAGAACATTTAAAATGACCTATACATTTGTTTCAAAATCATTTTTTTAATAATTATTATTATTCTTTTTTTTTAAAATTTAAGCTTAAAAAATTTTACCCTAGAAAATCAAATTCACAACAACTAACAAATTTTGATTAAGTAAAATAACATAACAATAATGAAACACTTTGAAATTTCAATAAACTCTAGTCATATTATTATTTGTTCCATTATTTTTTCTCCACTTTAATGTCTAATGTCGTACAAATATCGAGCATTGATTTAGGTCAAATCATCTTTTAATCTAAATTATTTTGTTTATAAAGCTGGGTTTTTTTTCATTTCGAATACTTTTTTCTTAAAATAATACTATTTTGGCAAACCCATGGAATTCAGTCCTATCAGCGTCGTATAAGGTTTCTGTTATATGAAATTTTGTCGAGATTGCAGAGAATTTGGTATCGAACATGTTCATAGGTCTTACATTTTACAAAACCCCAATTGGGTCTACCAACCTCTGTGTACAATTTATTTATTCAAAACATCTGTATTACATACACGTCTCGAGATGTATTTATTTATGTGTGGTTATTTTATTATGGATTTTTTTACRTTAAGCTAACAATATTGATGTTTGTTTATGTTATAGTTCCATCACGAATTAAATCGGTWACGTCAGGAGGAAATATTGACACTAAAAAGGATTCTATGATTAAATTAAACTGTGAAGCTGACGGAAATCCTGTTCCTAATATAACATGGACAAGAAAGGTAATATATTATATTATTTTAAAACAAAACATTTGTTAATATTACTAATTATTAGGCAAAACATATTTTATGAAATATCTTATTAGATTTAGTAACCAATCTTTAATATTGTAATTTTTATTATAGAAATTTGAGTTTAAAAAAATTCCAGTTCTAAATAAAAAATGACTATTCCGTATGAATCAAAAATGYTATTTCTCTCCAAAATAGTCTATAATCTAGACACACACTTAAAATAAATCGACGGTTTAAAGTAACAAGCATTATTTATAAACCGTGTTAGTTTACTATAATTCTAATACGTATATATGTAAAACGACAAAAGCATAGTAGTATGGTACAAATAGAACACAATATAAATCAAAATGTTTAAAAAGATTTTAGTAATAATAAGCACCGTTCAAGAATAATTATTTTAAATTCATCTCAATAATTTTGGGCGAATTTCATAACAAATAAAAACGGTGATATTGAGATTAAATCATAAACAAAATGACACTYCAATTGATTCGAAAAACATTATTTATACAATTTCGTTAATTTTACAGAACKTAGAAATATCTACCGTGCAATTGTTGTAAAACTGTTTTTGTTAGTGGTGTGGATCCATTTGAACAGTCATTGAGAATCTTTGTATAATTTCTCTCATATTTTACTAAATACTCATTGTAATCCATTAATGTTCGTTTAAACACTTTAGAATAACGTACTTCCAAATGGTGAGAGAAATGCAACTGGCGATACATACATAATTCAATCGGCCACACGTCACGACGCTGGATTGTACATATGTACAGCTTATAACGATGTTGGACAACCTGCTGAACAAACTATTACAGTTAACATTCTATGTGAGTATAATAATTATACTTAACGTTTTCAAAAAATATTAATACGACTTATATTTATATACTTATATAACTTATTAGTAAAATAACWTGTAACTCTGAATTACTCGAAATAATATTTWWAAAAAAAAACCATGARCACAATATAATATAGGAGGTACCTATTTTATTGCGAATCATACAATGCGTAATGTTATGATGGAACTGGACGCATCATTTAATTATTTAATCAATCTGTATAACTATAAAGACAAAAAAAATGTCAACACTTTAATATTGGTCGCCCTCAAAAATAAAAATAACTTAAAAAGCTTAAAAGTTTTAAGAAGAAAAATCAATTAAATAATATAGTTACTTTTATTCAAGATAAAAAAAAAAAAATATTAATCAACAAACTAAGTGTTATTATTTTATTTTCATTAAATAAAATTAGTAGGTATTTATAATTTATATAGGTACCTACTTTTTAATTATGATTTAACAAATCATTTGATTGGTARCTATTATAAGTATAATTACTAATAAGGGGAGTGCAAATAATGCACTCAAACTTCGAAGTACCTACCGCTTTTGTTGCTATACTGATGAAAAAAAAAATAATAACATTACAACCGATWAATTAAAATAATATAAATRCGTGGGGCATACGTTCAAATATGTGTATTATTATTTATTGAAAATTCACATTTTGCACCAACAAAATGAATCAAGTACTCGACTTAAGCCCGATAAATATACAAAACATACTAAACGTGAATAATGATACGTTGATAGGTTATAGTAAGTTTATACACACAGAAATTTTATTAATATTATAGATTTAATTTGTTTTTCATTAGTTGCAGACTATTGAATATACTTATTCTCTTATATTAAATTACCATTGTCTAAGCACATGATAAGGGTTGAGCACATTCCACTCTTGTGAGAATTTCTCTCATCGTGTATRTCTAAATAATGACGCATACATATTTTGTAACCACGCGATCATTTATTGAGTATCATCAACTCTAGTTTTAACTCGTATATAATTTTTTATCATTAAAAATGTGTAGATGTGAAAATTATGAATAAAATAGTATTTTTTCACTATGCGTGTGTGCAAATTCAACCTACTTTAGAATAAGAAAAAATATAATGTAATTTACATCAATTATGATATTAGCATAGTATAAAGGAACAGTCTACAGTGGCCGATCCCAATTCATTTTTAATTACTTTATGATCATAAATAAAAATAATAATTTATCGATATGAGACGATAAAATTTGTATTATMATTTATTATTACTAGTAAATCAAAAAACTTCACCTTTACCGTAAAAGTATTTGTACATTTCGAATGGTCTGTATGTAGAGCACTAAGGGATAGGGTACTTTATTTTGTTATCTTTTATTTTCCAACTCACGCAAATACACACATTATTATTGTTTGGTTTATAAAAGAATAYTATTACAAATCCTCATTCCGAAGTGTCTCTGTTTTGAAATAGTCCTCAATTAAAGATAAGTATATACTTAATCTTMTAGTTCTATTGTTTAATAAATCGAATTATAAGCTGACAACTTTTGATGACTCTTGTGCTATGAAAATAGTTTATAAAACTATGAATATATAAAAAAAACAAAAAAACAACAGTGAATTCAAATTATTGTAGAACAAAATTTAATTTTTAAGACAGCTGATATTAGCATTACTTGGGTAAATGTTAAGATGTGCATACAAATACTAATATCTGTTGAAATTTATTCTGAAGTGTGTACACTGTCCTTGATTGTAACTTCAAAAATCAATGTTTARTAAACTAAATAATTTAGTGAACTGTTCATTAAAAATACATCAAAATTAATCACGTCTGATTTTTAGATCCTCCGGAAATTGAAGTTGAACGCGTATGGGTTCATTCTGGTGAAGGAAACGAAGCACTGCTAGTTTGCATAGTCAACGCTGAACCGCACGCCGAGGTAAATATTATACATTTATGCTTATAATATTGGAACAAAATCTTAAAATCTCAGATTTTATTTTATCACCGAGTGCTTTTATCGGTTTCTTTTTTAGTTTACCTGCACTTATTTATTTCAGAGCTCAAAGTTTAATAATTTAGTTTAAAGATTTAAATTGAAACTTTCATATTTATTAATACTGCAGTGAAATATTGATTCAATTTTCGTAAGAACTATAAAAATCGGTAAAATACAAATTTTTAAAATGTTATCTTCATAAGTGTAAGATATATTGTACCTACACAAATAAATTAGCATATTTCTGTRTACTCGTATAGCAATTAAGATTCTCACCGGCTTGCTTAATACGTCATTAATTTATAACTTGTATGTATTAATATTTAATTATACCTATTGTTGAATAAATAAAAATAATAATTTATTTGTGTACTCCACTAAAACGTAAGGTATAAAATATAAAACATATTATATTGATTTAATTACTCTAAACGTACAATTAGTAATTCTAATGGTCATTCAAATAGAATTCTCTTAGTTCTAAAGTTAAAGCGGGAGACGTGTTGATACTCGTAGATGATTATAACATATATAAGTGGTAACCATGCCAGAATTGTCAAAACAAACATCGTGATATATGTATAAAAACAAGTTCTAAGTCTGTGAGTGGGGTACAACAAATCTGTCAGCCAGACACACAAATACACAACATTATGGACAATAATTGAAACTAACTTTAGTCGATGTATAAACACTCGATATTAATATTGTCGTAAAAGGGCTATTCAGTTGATAATTAAACTGCTTATCCGGTTTGATTATTCRAATCCTTTAGGTGTTAATATATTTCTGTGGTTATGTAACTAATACAAAATATGTGTTGTGTGTATCACCATTCCAACAGCTTATGGCGTACAAAGTATTTTTTTTTAATACAAAGCTCATAATATCCACAATTATACTTAACTACAGCTTTTTGCATACTTACTACAACAACATAATATTATTAACTAAAGATATTTTGGACGTTATGCTTCCTATTTATATATATCTGACCTTACAAATCTTACAGCTCCAGTAATATAATATATTTATATATATATATATATATATAAAAATATAAATGAGTCCAAAAATGTTTAACAATTCATCAATTGAGAACGGCTGTACTGATTTCGCTCATTCTTTTTTTTGTCGAGTTCGTAATTGTCAAAAGAAGGATCA